TCTCCCCAAAACCCCAAAACCCCAAAACCCCTAGGAATAGAATAGATATTTTAAGTAGTATTCAAACGATTAAATCGATAATAAAGATTTCTTATAAATACTTTCATTCAAAGGTAATTTCATATGAACTCTGTAGTATGTGATCAATTATGAAAATCGACAAGGTTTTAAATCCATTTTTCATCTCTTTTTCTTCTGAGTTTATTCAATTCATTAACTAATTTCATAGTCTTATCTTCATCAACCACCATCGCTCTTAACTCCTCATAACACATTCCTTCCAATTTGGCTAAAGATAAATTCCCTGAGAGGTCTAACTATTTTAGATCAAGACCGATATTTGAGAAAATTGTGGAACAATCAATTGCTCTATCATCTGGGTTAGAACCGTCTCCCTCCTCATATTTGATATTATCAATATCTGAATCATTGTCCTCTTCATCAGGATCTGACTTGCTGCTTGACTCCTAACCTGGTTACTCCTCCTATTTTTCCATTGTCTGATGCAATCCCTCGAATATCTAGAGAGACTTTTTCTTTGGCTCAGAGTTGATATTCTTGTCTATAAATAGATTAGAATTATTTTAAACTTAAACACTTACAAATATCTTTATGGATGTTGATATCAGGAGATCTTGGTTCTACTCTGGACTAATAATCGTAATTCATGTATTCATCTCCTCTTGGTAGATTTAAATACTAGTGCCCGAGGAACATTTCCAATTATTGATTAGTAGAAGTCTAAAGACTTAATCTTTTCATTTCTTCAATTTGCTGCTGCTCTTGATTGTAGGCAGCTAGTATACTTGGATGTAAGATAGGATTAGGATACATTGCAGAATATCTCTTGTTATTTTGATGATCAAATTGCATTGGATTCATTGGATGAGGCTGCATTGAGTATCTCTTTTTAAATTACTCGCTAGCATTTTAGCTTGATTAAGGATTAATAGTACTTAATGAGATCATATCTGGCGACATATTTGTTGGTTACGTCTGACTGATATTAGATGACATCATAAATTATGATGTTTATCCATAGTTATCTGTTATTTAGTAAAGATTTTGTTGGTTATAGGGTCCCTAATAGATAATTGGAGAAGTTGACATTCTTTTCTAAGCCGCAATGTCCTATAAGTTTACTAGCTAGAGGAAATTACTAGCATTAGGCACAAGACTCTGTCTTTTTTAAGAGTTTTACTGAGCTTAAGTGATTTGAATAGGTGCATTTTGATTTGGGACAAATTAGGGAGCGTTTAGATTGAAATTTTATTAAGCTTGAGTATTAATGGTTATCTGCGGGGGAGTTTGCTGAGGCGGTTATTTTGATTAATTTTCAGATTAGGGGGTCAGCTGCAAACTTTTTTACGAGTTTTTTGTGCTGTCTGAATTAGCTTGATTAATATTATTTTGAAATGAGATATCTGTTGTAGTCCTTGAAAATGAGGTCTATTTAATACCCCCCATAAAGTCTCTATCGTAAGTGAGATTCCTCAAAAATGGCATGTAATAATTTGAGGGAAAGTTAACTAGTCTAGTCTTTGGAAATACTTTGAACCACTGCTACAAAGGCTACCTTCTGTCTTTTTCTGAATGATAGTAAGAGCAATGAATCTTGTTGCACTAATCTCCGTGCTTACAAGGGTTCAATTTATAGTTTTCAGGGTGATATTCCTACTCTTTCCAGCCGTGGCTCTGCAAGCAATTGTATTCGTTAGAACAGCCATCCCTATAATTGTTGATAAATGATCGAGATCCCCACTTGTTGCATTAGTCTTTTGAGTAATTATAAAGTTGGGGTTTTCTCCTAAAATCTTGCCAGTTATGTGAGTACACACATAAATCTCTTTAGTGGTTTGTCTCATTGTATGGACACCAAACGGTCTTAAAGTGAAACATGTAAAAATCAGAATCTTTGTCGAAAGAATCTATCAACTCGACAGAGATTTCAGCCTAAGAATGCGCGAAAGAGCAATATTCACCATATTCGCATTCGCCGCTATCATCAATATAGGATGAGCAGAATTTGGCTTTATATTTATCAGGATGATAAAACTCCTCTACCCGATTATGGGATTTTTAGCATGATTCTCCGTTGGGGCATTCTTTTCCACTGGCTGCGTAGGAGCACATTTCAGACTAGTAAGACCCGAGAGGCCTCCTCTAGTCTTTTTTCTAGTCATGATAGTAAGGGCATCTTTTAAGATTGTGATTATTAGAGTCTATCGTACAAGGATGGACTTTAAATAAAGTTAAGTCAAGAAATTAGCAATAACTAGGATCTCTGTCACTCTAATTATTGTTCTGTAATTTAGATCGATCTAGGTTGTATTAGTTCTCGTATGACTGCTTGCTCCCTCCTCCTTGAAAGTAGTCTTGGTAGGGATTTCTAGACTAATTTTGAGGGGCATCACTCCTCCTTCGGTAGCCTTAGTCTTTTTTTAAAATGGGTGATTGAACCTCTGAGTTCTCAGTTTCAATATAGGAATCATTTCTCCTATTGTTTTTGTATTGATTGCGTGATGCCTTTTTGTGTCCTGACTGATCGTAAGAATACTGCTCATAACCGTCATTGTAGTAGTTTAGACTCTTATTCTAATTGGAATGATGTGTTACTACTCTTTGATTGTCGGGTTATCTTTGCTTTTTTATATTGCAATCCTTTTTACTATCTTGCATATTATTTATCAAAATCTCAAAACAAAGAATACGATCAAGCAAATTTTGACCTCACTCAATTCACTTGCAATTAAAGTCTATTGGGGTTTTGGGGTTTTGGGGTTTTGGGGTTTTGGGG